GGGAGTGCAGTATTTATGGCTGTGAGATAGGCTTTTGTCTTTTTCTGTAGATGGGTGATTAGTGTGTCTTGTTGTTGGTGTATTGCTGTGCTAAGGAGAAGAGATTATCTGTCACTGTGGATGATGGGTGTCATTGGCTGGTCTTTTGTGTGTAGTGATCCCCTGTCCTTGTGGCTGGGTAGAGTTCATTGACCTTTTGCACGCTGTATTTTTGAGAGCTGGGAGCCAAGTTTTGTTGAGCTTCACACTTTCCTCTTTTTTGTTGAAGTTTTGCTTGTGCTTGTGGATTTCAATGGCTTCCCTGTGCAGTCTGATGATTGCTGGTGTTGTCCAGTATTTCAGTATTTTGAAATATAATTTCATTTCCAGTTTGTTTTAGGGCATGTTCAGCTACTGCAGATTTTTCTGGTCATTTTAGTCTGCAGTGTCTCTCATGTTCTTTGATTCTAGTGTGGATGCTTCAATTTGTGGTTCCAATATATACCTGGCCACAACTGCAAGGTATCTGGTATACTCCTGCAATGGTGACGGGGTCCCTTCTGTCCTTTGCTGACCATAACATTTGTTGTATTTTTGTGGTGGGCTTGAATGCTGTTTGTAGGTTGTGTTTTTTCAAAAGTTTCCCCATGCGGTCCGTGACCCCTTTGATGTATGGCAAAAATACTTTGTGGGTGACTGTTTTTCTTCTTCAGTTCGGTGTTGTTTTCTTGGTTTGATGCCTCTTGTGATTTCATTTTTGGAGTAGCCATTTGCCTGCAGGGCCCAATTCAGATGGTTGAGTTCAGTGCTGAGAAACTGAGTTTCACAGTTCCGATTTGCACGGTCTATCAGTGTTTTGATTATGCCTCTTTTTTGCTGTGGGTGGTGGTTGGAGTTTTTGTGTAGGTGCTGGTCTGTGTGGGTGGGTTTTCTGTAGACCTTGTGTCCCAGTCGGAGGTCAAAAACTCCAGTGCTGTCCTCTGAAGATGCCAGCCACAAAGACTGGCGAAACGTTAGGAAGAACAACTTTCAGAACACGGCCAAAGAGCCCGAAAAACCCACAACAACCATGGTAATAATTTATTGGTTTTTAGCTTTTAATGTTTGTTTTAATATTGCAAGCTGCTTTGGTCCTCTAAGAGAAAGGCAGGGTATAAATATTTTAGACAAATAGAACTGTAGCAAGAAGAAGAAAGTGGGGGAGAAACCCCCTTCTTTTAAAAAAAGCAAATAAATAAACAGCTTCCCAGGAGACAGTGTGAATTCATGATTGGGATGAAACCAAATATCTGTATGATTGCGTTCCAAAATCCAGAGGTCATATAAAACAGATTTTTAGTAACAATCCAAGCAGTTTAATGCTTCAGACCACAGGGCAGAGTCAAAAACCAACCAGCCCGCCAGCCCACCTGCCTGCTTGCCTCTGCCTGCCAGCCTGCCTCTTCCTTCCTTCCTTCCTTCCTTCCTTCCTTCCTTCCTTCCTTCATTCCGTACTTCCATGCTTCCGTGCTTCCTTCCTAGATCGG